AAAGAAAAAGAAAGAGAAAGAAAAAATACATATAATAGCCAAAAGTAGGAAACAAGCCAAATGCCTGTCAATGGATGAATGGATAAACAAAATCTGGTATAGTCATACAATGGAATATTATTTGTCAATAAAAAATAATAAAGTTCTGATTCACCCAAGTGGATAAACCTAAACATTATGCTAAGTGAAAGAAGCCAGAGAGAAAGACCGCATATTGTATGTCTTCATTTACATGAAAAGCCCGGAGTAGCAAATCTACAGAGACAGAAAATAGATCAGTGATTGCCTTGGGCTGGGAATTGGGGGCAGGATGAGGAATGCCTACAAATGGGAACAGGTTTCCTTTCTGTGGTGATGAAATGTTCTAGAATTAGACAGTGGTGATCGATGCACAACCTTGTGAATATACTAAAAACCACTAAATTGTACATTTCAAAAGAGTGAACTTTAGGATGTATAAATTATATATTAATAAAACTGTTATTTTTTTGAAAAAGAAACATACACAATAAATGAAAGAAAAGACTTTAGAATAGTTTGGAATTTAGGGTACATTTTCCTATTCTTTTCTGTTTTACTGTAATTTGTTTTCAGGCACTTCTGAACTTGGTAACATTTCCATGATATTACCAAATTCACGAGCTGGTTTGAAATAACTATTTCCTGTTATTACTTCGTATTTTCATAACTTTTGAGCAAAGGATGTAATGTGGGACATGAAGATATGATTTTTTGGGAATTTCCCAGTCTTGGCTTTGAATATTTAGGTTCTTTCCAAGTTTTCAGTCTAATAGATCAGAAGAGATATAAGTAGCTGAAAAGGAATTAGTAATGTGAAAATTAAAAAGTGGTAGAAAACAAAAAATCAGAAAAATGCTTGAAGACGCTATTTGCAAAACTGTCCCTAGTACACTTATCAACATATGAAAAAAAAAACAGTGCCTGGAGATATTTATTTATGTATTTATTTGAGACTCACTCTGTCGCCCAGGCTGTAGCGCAATAGTGCAATCATGGCTCATTGCAGCCTTAACCCCTGGGCTCAAGCAGTCCTCCCACCTCAGCTTCCTGAGTAGCTGGGACTACAGATGTGCACCACTATGCCTGGCTAATTTTTTTGGTATTTTTTGTAGAGATGGGGTTTTGGCAGCTTGGTCAGGCTAGGAAATATTTATTTTTATTGATTGGTTTCACTTTTTTTTTTTTTTTTGAGACGGAGTTTCACTCTTGTTACCCAGGCTGAAGTGCAATGGCGAGATCTCGGCTCACCGCAACCTCCGCCTCCTGGGTTCAGGCAATTCTCCTGCCTCAGCCTCCTGAGTAGCTGGGATTACAGGCATGCGCCACCATGCCCAGCTAATTTTTTGTAGTTTTAGTAGAGACGGGGTTTCACCATGTTGACCAGGATGGTCTCGATCTCTTGACCTCGTGATCCACCCGCCTCGGCCTCCCAAAGTGCTGGGATTACAGGCGTGAGCCACCGCGCCCGGCTTGGTTTCACTTCTTTATGCAGTTGCTTTTGACTACAACATCTGCCAACAATGGGGCTTAACTTGTGTTATGGGATGCTCTTATTATGGGGTTAAGGACAGGAGAGACTTTGATGCTACCCTGGGCCTTTACATCTATAATTCAGCTCCCCACCTCACCCCTCAATGCAGTCAGAAGGCCCCCTCGGACTTACAGGGCTTCTGGGAGATGCAGGATCCGAAGGACCCCTCGCCACACGCCCTGGGTCCTGGGACCCTCAGGAGGGTCAGGCCCTCAGCAGGACACGGTGAGAGTAAGCAGACAGCAGGCACTGTGGAGAAGAGGGTGGATTCAGACCAAATGCCTAGTGGGGATGGGGTGACAAATACTCTCCTGTCCTCACCCGCCTTCACCCGCTGTGGCCTGCAAGTACAGCTCTGAAGCAGCTCTTAAGTCAGACACCTCCACTTCAGTGGCATCTTCTACCACCCTAGAGGAAGGGGAGGCTGAGCTCAGCTCCTAAGTAACAGGGTTCTGCCCAGCCCCCCAGAACCTTTACATGGGGAGCCCATGGAGGTCCCCATAGACTGTAAGAATCAACCAAAGGCTCCAGGTTCAGTCTGCTTCTCTAAACGTTTCTCATCCTCATGATTTTATTTTCCTTCCTGTGAATAGGGTAATTGGGATCACTTCCATTTTACAGATGGAGAAACTGAAGTCCTGCTCAGTGAGATGCTCAAAATCACCCAGTGTGACAATGACAGAGTCAGGACATGGGGCTGGGAATGGAATTGAGGTGGTGTGAGTTGAAGAGGTGTTAAGCAGGGTGAAGGGAGTGAGAAGGATGGGCACATAGGGTGAAGGAAGAGGGTCAGGGGTGATCCTGAGAGCAGCCCCTGACCCTGTAAGCATGACCCCAAGCTCAGAGCTTCCTTCCCCTGAGGTGGCAGTTGGTGGAGACCCCCAAAGGCTCAGCTTGGGGGAGGCAGCCCTGCCTTAAGACAAGCGCCCTCAGACTCCACTGGGCCCTGAACACTCACAAGCCCAGAAGGGCCACATCCAGCACTGACAGGTTCTCCACCCCTGGAGAGAGCAGGTCCCGGGTCCTTCCTCTGGGGCTGAACTGGGGGTCACATAAGCACACATGTTACAAACTGAGCCTTTCCCTACTTTCAGCTCACATGATCCTCCTGGGGGCCAAACAGGGCACCAAGAATTCAGCCTTTTTGCAGTCAGAGGAGAGCAGACCTCAGAGAGGGACACCCATGCTGGTGAGCAGCAGAGTGAGGCTGGACACATGCTTTCTGGCTCCCCACAAACCTCGGGCTCCTTCTGCAGAATCGCCCTGGCCCTGGTTCCCAGATCCCACTCTCTCCCCTCCTGCAAGGGTCTCACCTGCACCAGGCTAAGAGTGCTAAGCACAGGATCAGAACAGCTTTGGGGCAGAGCTTCCTCAAACGGCATCTGCAGCAGCTAAAGTGGAGAAGCATTCAATGAGGATTAAGAAAGCATAATCTGTCCTTCAACATTTCCTGAGAGCGAAGTCCGTGTCATGCCCTATACTGGGGACATGGCATCCAGGATAGAAATAGCACCAGTCTTCATGTTCACAGGAAGCCAGAAAGTGAGCAGACATTCTCAGTGGGACCTGCTGTTTGCTGCACAGGGATTCACGACGTGTTCTGAGGCAGCTATTTTGATTTGGGGGCATTCTGATGAAGTCCCCACAATAAAACTTCCAAGCTTACCATTAGTATTACCAGGAACTGTGAAAATCAGATCTCCTTGGATATTTGATCTTTTCATGCCACCCCTCTCTAACCCTCAACCTATTAGCGCCAGCTTCCCACCTTCCTTTATTTTATTTTTTAATTAAAAAATTTTTTTCCTTGGAAGGATATCAGTAACAGGGAAAATTTTTTTTTGTTTTGTTTTTGCTTTTTTTTTGGGGGGGGGGCAGAGTTTTGCTCTTGTCACCCAGGCTGGAATGCAGTGGCATGATCTCGGCTCACCACAACCTCTGCCTCCCTGATTCAAGTGGTTCTCCTGCCTCAGCCTCCCAAGAAGCTGGGACTACAGTTGCCCACCACCACACTCAGCTAATTTTTTAAATTTTTAGTAGATATGGGTTTTTGCCATGTTGGCCAGGCTGGTCTCAAACTCCTGACCTCACGTGATCCACCCACCTTGGCCTCCCAAAGAGCTGGGATTACAGGTGTGAGCCACCACACCTGGCTCCTTTCTACCTTCTTTGACTTCCCAATAGCTGTGTAAATTGACCCTGGCAAAACATCCTGCCTTAATCAACAGGGTGCTTGCTGTAGGAGCCCCACTGAGAGCTGATGTGGAGAGGGAAGATTCTCAGAAGTCTCTGGGAGAGGTAATCCCTGTGCTGCATGCGGCCTGTGCCCTGGTGGCTCCTCTGGGACTCACCTGAGGCACGAATCGAGGTGCCTCTGTTTCCCTGCCTCGGAGCAACAGGGCCACACTGTACCCTCGGCCCACAGAGCCCAGTGTGTATTGGACATGTGCCAGCAGCTCCTGCTCTGCCTCCTGCAGGGAAATACTGGCACATTCCACTGACTCAGGTGCTCTGAGCAAAGGAGCTCTGGAGGCAACTGGTACCCCAGGATCCAGGGGCCTGAGGTCTCCTACCCTCCTCTCATCACCCTCCCAGACCTCCCTACCTGAGCAGCATCAGGGCCCAGGACTCTGTCAAAGGTGAAGCTTTGTTCCTGTGGGCAGGGCTGGGGTCAACTGTGATATTCTCATCTTCCCCTGCACCCTCTACCCCACCCCTGCACCCCCTGACCCCCGACACACACTGCCCATCCACCTGAGTCTCCAGAGTTCCAAGCTGAAGCAAACGGATATTTATGGGCTCCACCAGGAGTGTGGGGCTACAGGTATCCACAGGGCCTGAGAAAGGAGGACTTCATATCAGCTGTCATAAGGAAAACTGGCTCCAGGATTCCTGAGTCCTGCCCTCAACCTTTGCCTCAGTTTTCCAACCCAAGCTGGCCCAGCCCTCCCCTCTTCCAAGAGGCTCTCCTGGGCTTCACTCCCTCGGAGTACAAACGTGGAGGGCTTCTTACCTGATCCCTTCTGCGACTCCACTTCTATTACCACGGTCAGCATGGCGTGTGGGTTGCGCGAGACCACGAGGGCCCATCAAGAAGCCTGAGCTGCCTGGCTCAAACCAGACCCTGCGGTCACTACCTCTCCACAGTCCATGGCCTCTCAGCCTCTCAGCTTCTCAGCTTCCCCTCAATAAATCATGAATCCCATCTGAGGGCTGGGGAGGGGTGGCTCTGGACCTGGTAACCTACTAAGGGAAGTGACATTCCCTTCTCTTGTGAGAGAACATTGCATAGGGTTCTTTCATTTTTTTCCTTTTATGAAAATGTTCAAACATGTATAACACTGGAGAGAATAGTATCATCAACCTCCAGGTACCCAGCTTCAGCAAGTACCAAATTCTGGCCAGTCTGATTTCTTTTGTTCTCCTCCCATCCCCAGCAGATTATTTTGAAGCAAATCTCAGACATCCTGGTATTTCATCTATAACTTGTTCAGTATACCACAGTTAATTTTAGAACGTTTTCATCACATCATAAGGAAATTTGGTTCCCTTTAGCTATTAGCTCCCTAACCCAAACCCACTGCACCCTGCAACCCTAAGCAATCACTCATCTATTTTCTGCCTTTACAGATTTGCCAATTCTAGACATTTCATATAAATAGAATCATATACTGAGTGGCCTTTTGTGTCTGTTTTTTTCCACTTAACATAATGTTTTCAGTTGTAGTATGTCTCAGTACTTCTTCCCTTTCTATGGTGGATAATGTTCCACAACAGAGCTCTGTCACCAGCTGCCTGGAGTTCGGCCAAGTTTCACCACAAAGGGCATCGTCCTCCAAGAAACTGCACTCCTCCATGACAGCAGACTCAAGTTAAGGGGTCCCCAGGCCTTCCTCACTCCAGCTGTCTGCAGGTTTTGGTGTCTCCAACTACGTGGAGTTAGTGTCAGGTCCCATGAATTAAAACAAAACATCCCCAACAAGACTGCCCTTAATTCAAATGCCAGCCGCAAGTGAGATCATCAGATTATTCACAAGTTTGTCTGACTTGGCTACAAATTCAGGGGTTTCCCATGACCCCACCCCAAATTGAGTAATTCACTTGAATGACACAGAACTCAGAAAAGTGCTTACTTACTATTACCTTTTTATTATAAAGGATACAAATGAATAGTCATATTGTTGTATTTAAGTGGGTTATAGAAGAAACATCATGCTCTGAGTTTTATTTTATTTTTTTATTTTTATTTATTTATTTATTTATTTTGAGACGGAGTTTCACTCTTGTTACCCAGGCTGGAGTGCAATGGCGCGATCTCGGCTCACTGCAACCTCCGCCTCCTGGGTTCGGACAATTCTCCTGCCTCAGCCTCCTCAGTAGCTGGGATTACGGGCACGCGCCACCATGCCCAGCTAATGTTTTTGTATTTTTAGTAGAGACGGGGTTTTACCGTTGTTGACCAGGATGGTCTCGATCTCTTGACCTCATGATCCACCTGCCTCGGCCTCCCAAAGTGCTGGGATTACAGGCTTGAGCCACCGCGCCCGGGCACTCTGAGTTTTAAATTGAGAGTCCTTTATTGCCGGGGACGGAGAGACGGCTAATGCTTAAAATTCTTTCCGCCCGGGGGAAGGGGCTTATCTTTTAGACCTTGATTTAGGTAGGAGAGGGGGAGCCTAGCTGAAGTGGAATTTTGCAGACGCAGAACAAGCAAGTTAGAACCAGGGGGTAGAAGGTACCCAGGATTGTTGGTTGCTAAGGGTATTTTTATACAATTATCAAGAGGTGTAGCAGGGGGAACTTTTCATACAATCAATCACCAAGGAAGGTATTCACAATAGCAGGCAAACTTGCCAAGCAGGATGCGGTTACAGTGGTTACAGGTACTGGGAACAGTGTGAACAACTCTTAACAGTTTAAAGATTTGAGTGCAGCCTGACCCAGTAATGCACCTGAGGGGGCTGAGTCAGGGAGGGGGAAGCCGAGCTGGAGCCTACTGCCAAGATGGAGTCAGGATAACACAGGCTAGGTTATTACACTCCCCACTTGTGTTTTTGGAGAGTCAAAGCATTGACTCTTCAGTTACAACAAGGAGGTTACAGTGGCTTTTGAGATCCATAAGTTTGACAGAATTTACACGCTGCCTTATGAAAGCAAGGAGCTAGTTTAGTATACAGGGCCCAAAGATTAAGTCCAACAGGAGGAGAAGAAGAGGTTTTGCTAGCCCAGTTATTAAAGTAGTTAGTTATGGGCTTCAGTTAAACATGATTTGGTACATGGGTGTTTTTTTTTTTTTTCCCCCGCTTTTGTTGGCGTTTATTTAAACTCTTTTGAACCTGTGAAGGGTGTCCTTTATGACTCCAGACTGGTTAGCATAAAAACAACAGCTTTCCCCCAACGCTGTCCACGGTGGTTCTGGAGAGCAACTTTAGTTAGGGATTTTACCTGGATATGTAACATATTTATGGCTGACTGGAGATTTTTCAAATCAATATTTACTTGTTGAGATAGGGACATTAGTCCAGTTTCTTCTCAGACCAGGGCAGCAGTGCCAATAGTTGCTGACCCAGCTACATTGATGCCGGCCAGGAGGGATGCAAAGAGTGGAACAGCTCGTCGGGTCCTGGAATGCAGTTCGTGGGGAGAGATGAGAAGGTGTTTTTCTGGTCCACTGTACACATAGACCTGGGGAAGCACATGAACCAACACGCACAGAAGAGGATCAGGTTCAGTCCCATTGATGCAGCGGGTGAGGCCTGAGGTACAGGCCAGCCAGGTATTGTTAGGTGCCTGGTAGGAGACTGAGGGGTTTAGGGAAGTAAGTAGAGACTGGTTAAAAGGAGAAGCAGATAGATTATACCCATTGCTTATTAGACAGACGACATTTCCTGCAACGTCCCCTAGTGGAAGGGAACGGGCGAGTGTCCTTTCCAAGCAGGAGTAAGTTCTTTTTGGGGGAGCTTTTTGACATACACCAGGTTACCAGGACAGAAAGTGTGGCAGGGCCCGGTTTGGTCAGGGTGTGCTCCGTGGACGAGTGGCTGGATGCTGTCTTGAACCTGCTGGAGAGAATGCAGGTACTGTAACAAATTAGCTTGGGATATTTCTGCTAGATGGGTATTCCTTAGCTTAGGCAAGATAGGCAGAGCCCTCCCACACATGATTTTAAAAGGGGAAAACCCCGCCTTGTAAGAGGTGCATTTAACTTTAAGAAGGGCTAAAGGAAGGAGGTTTGTTGAACCTTTACCGGTTTCCAAGATTAATTTTGTAAGAGTACTTTTTAAGGTTTGATTTATGCATTCTGCCTGTCCAGAGCTCTGAGGTATTGAGCTATAGGTAAGGAGAAGGCTGGCCCATTATTAGATTTTGTAGTGAACGGCAGCCCATATTGAGGGATGATTTTATTGAATAAGAAATTTACGGTAGAAGCAGTTTTGTTTCTAGTGGCAAATGCTTTAGTCCATTCAGAAAAAGTCTTTACTTACCGTTACCAGGAGATACTTGTATCCCGCCCGGTGTGGCTTTATTTCTGTGAAGTTTATTTCCCATCTTTCTTCTGGGCTGCATGCCTGGAGGTGACCAACCAAAGCTTCACCGAGGGCACGGGGCAAGAAAATTTTGGAATCCGGGAGAATCCACCAACCATCCCAGGTTTTACTAGCCTGAAGATTTGACACTTGCTTTTTTTTCTTTTGGAGAGTAGACTGGATGATCAGGTAAATTGGGCTGTGGGAAAGACACAGTAGGTAATAGGGTTAAAGGGGTGACTGGAAGCCAGGCTGCCTCTTGGGCGGTGGAGTCGGCCGTTTGGTTTCCTTGGGCAATGGCTGTGTTTTCCTTTTGATGACCCCTGCAGTGGATTCCAGCCATCTAGAGGGGAAGCCAAACGGCCTAGAGCAGGGCCAGAATTTAGTAGCCCGCTCTCTTGGTAAATAGTTCCGTGAACATGTACAGTGGCAAAAGCATACTGGCTGTAGGTATAGATATTAATGCATTTGTCCTTACCCCACTGGACGGCCTGAGTGAGGGCGATTAATTTAGCCTTTTGTGCAGAAGGTCCAGCTGGCAGAGCCTGCGCCCACAGTGACTCTGTTTTTGTGGTGACAGCAGCACCGGTTTTTTGCACTCCCCGCTTAAGGAAGCTGCTACCGTTTGTAAATATGGTGGCATCTGCCTTCTCCAGGGGAACATCCTGGAGATCAGGTTGGCCAGTTTTCCCAGTCCTTAACAGCTCTTGGCAGTCATGGACAGGTACAGTTAAATTTGGCTTAGGGAATAGAGTAGCTGGATTTAAACACTTTGTGAGGGAGAAAGTTAGGTGAGGCTGATCCAACAGCAGACTCTGGTACGGTAATATGCGAGCATTTGACATTTATTTACCAGAGGCACTGTGCAGCAATGTCTGAACAGCATGAGGAGCCAGGAGGGTTAAGTTTTGGCCCAGGGTTAGTTTATCAGCCTTCTGGACCAGACTTGCAGTTGCTGTCACGGCTCATAGACCACTTGGAATGCTTGTGTTTAACTTTAACTTAGTGCAGCCACTAAGATTTTTTTGCCCGCCTTTTTTTTTTTTTTTTTTTTTTT